AAAATGCATTGGAAACTTTAGGTTAACATGATTTATCTGCAAACAATTGATGCATTCAAGCTAAAAAAATAAAACATTAACATTTAATCACAAAAACTACGAGAAAAGAGAGGCTCAAATAAAAAAATAAAATTCTGTGAATTAAAAAAAATTTGCTTCTACTGTGTTTACCTGTGGATAAGACTAGCCTATAATAATAATAGTCCTTCCTTGAAAGAATAGGAGAATACCTTATCAAGACATTTGATTTGTTTCAGATGATATGAAGAATGATAAAAGGGAATAATTTACAAGATTAACTTTTGAATTGAAAACTTAAGAGGCAGATAACTTTTTTCAGGATTTCGAAGCCAAAAACTAAGGCAACTCATTGGTTAAGTTATCATGAGGAATTAACTGAAAAAGGAAGACTTGAGAAATCCATGGGAAGGTCATCACAAGCATTAGTGGATGGGATAAGAAAAAGGGCTTAATTTTGGATATGGCTTAGTCTAATATCATAGTCTAGAAAGGTGTACAGTACTGTATATCCAATGACTTAGCATACCTTTTAGTAAAGCAGAAAGAATTGGACCAGTTCATAATTTTAAAAAAGGTATACAGTGCAATTAAAATTGGGTACCATGTCCTCCCTCTCTTTCAAGTCATGCAGCATTGTTTTTCTACAAGAAAAATTTTGCAAACATTTCCCGTAATTAAATTCTATTTCAATTGAATGTTACCTGAATGTTTTTCTTGAAAACTTCTAATAAAAATAGTTGTGCACAGTACGTGAGTAGAAATTAAGCTTTTTAAAGAAAAGCCAGTCCAATTAACATGCTGCCTCAGAAACTCTCTGGATGATTGCATTTTATCTGCAACAACTTTCTTGGTACAGTATAACAATTTTTGTTTAGTCCCTGAGGGCTCTCTCCTCATGGGTTTATGGGGTTCTTTCCAAAAAAATCATCTATACAATGGATTTGTCCAGTCCCTAGAATTTTGCTGTAGAAAGAGAGAGAGAGAGAGAGAGAGAGAGAGAGAGAGAGAGAGAGAGAGAGAGAGAGAGAGAGAGAGAGAGAGTGTGTGTGTGT